AAAAATAAATAATAAATGTAATTTTTTTAGATTTTTTTATTATTAGAAAAAAATAAAATAAAATAATCTTCTTAAAATATAACCTAATTTATTAGTTAAATTTAAAAAATCTTCAAAATTCAATCATCTTTTGAAATACTCTAATTTATCTATCTTATAAAATATTTATATTCTTTAATATGAATAAAACTAAATACAATCAAGATAAAATAATAAAATCTAAATTAACATAATCAATCTAAACTTGAATTATAAAAATTTAAAAATATATTTCTACTTCTTTAGAGAAAAATATACAAATAATATCTTTTGTATATTAGAAAAAATATCTTTTGATTCTTTACTTAAAATAGATACTTTATAAATATAAGAATACTTTGTAATTAATTATATATATATTATGAAAGAAAAAAGAATATATATAATATAAACATATTTTAGAGACTTTGTAATATTTCTTGTGATTTAATATATATATATATATATATATATATATATATATATATATATATATATAGATATATATAGATATATATATATATAGATATAGATATAATTCTAAAAAAAAATAAGTAATTAATTTATATATATTTGAAGTTTAATTGATATTTGTAACAATTTATTATATCAATATCTATCAAGTAGATAATATATATATATATATATATATATATATATTTATATATAATAAATTAACTTATATAAATTTTAAATTGATCTTCATGGATTTGAAACTATTAATTTGTTATTAGATACATTATTGTTGGTTTTCTATGCTATTTTTTATAGATTTTATATTCTTATTTAGTATAAGAAGTACAATGCATTAATTAAAATGAATGATAATTATTTTTCTAAAATTTTTAGAATGGAAAAAAATAAACATATATTCTTTTTAATTTATGTATAGAAGAAATTTTACAAGCAAAAATAAATAAGGTAAAAAACCTCTTCTTTGAGGCTTCCAAAAGATAGTACATTAAAAAAGTAAGAAATAAAATAAAAAGTAATAAGATAGTTTGTATTAACAAGAGGTAAATCCTTGATGAGATAAACAATACCATATTCAGGTAGGCTCATTTAAGATTTAGACGAATCAATTATATAATTTCCAAAGAAATAATTGTCTTATATTTATATAAGTGAAAAAACATGAGTAACATAATATGAAAGCTACATTCACTTCTAATTCAATCATAATATTTATAAATTGCTTAAATTTTTATATAAGTAAAAATAAGTAATATATATATATATATATATGAATAAATATTTGGTTTAAAATAATTATAATATTAAATGTATAATTTAATATATTTTATCTATAAAAATTATATATATTTAAAAAATTAATAATTCTATAAAAGAATAATTAATTTATTTAAATCTTAAATCAATACCCTACATAACATTTATTGCAGTTCTATCTATCAAAATCTTATGTTATACCTACATCCTATATTAACATGTATGTATGTGTATGTTGAGCAAAAAGACGTTTAAAATTATTTCCTTGAATTAGTGGACAAATCAATTATACTGGAAAATTTACTATCATAAAAGAACTAAAGTAAAGTAGAAAGAGTCTTGAGGCATTAATAGCCAAGCCAATGTGTTGTTCAATTTGAAGCCTCAATGTGCTAGAAACCTTAATGTGGAATGTGTATATATGATTTTTGGATATGTCTTCAATATCTAATATATAATACATGAGATTTTAATAGAAAGAATTGTACTAGCAATGACGTGGAGGGTTGGGTTGATTCAAGGTTAAGGTGGGTTAATTTAAGATTTAGATAGATTGATTTGATATTTTCTTAAATATATCATAATTAGCAATAAACTATAGCACATAATTTTTTAAAAAAATCAATGAAAAATATTGAAAGAATTGAAGAAATTCAAATTTAAGACAAAGATATTGTTTTCAATATATAAAGTAAATTATATAAAAAATATATATATATATATATATATATATATATATATATATTTCTACATTTTAACTAAAATAATTTAAAAAATCTTAAATATTCAATGTCTTTGATTATAACTTTGCAAATAATTTTTAAGAAATAAGACTTAGGTTAATCAAGAAAATAATTTCTATCAAACTTAAATTCACAAGTTTTAATTTCGAATCCTCATTCTTGGCCAGAAGTTCTGCAACTGTTTGCTTTAGCGGCAGGAGCTACTGAAAGAAATTCCCACCTGAGCAATTCATGCATGGAGTTGCCTCTCAATGCAAAGAAGTGGGATGCCGCTCTCTACACAAAAAAATTAAAAAAGAGATGTTTCTTCAAGTTGTAGTTAGTTATGTGTTTGTGAATTTTTTTTAAAAAATTAAATTCATTTAAAATTCTTTAGATATTTGTAAAGTAAAATTAATCTTAAAATATTCTTTAATATTTTACTTTATTTTATGATTTCTAAGAATTTTTATTATTTTTTTAAAAAACTCTATAATAGATGCTTCAAGCTTTTAAAAAAACTTTGTGACTATTAGAAGATTCTTTAGAAATTTTACATTATTATTATTATTCTTGTAATTAGAATAAAAATATGTAATTAGAATAAAAATAATTACAAGAATAATAATAATGATTTAAAATTTTCTATTTTAGATATTATCTTTTTAATTTTAATTTATTTAATTTATTTTTTTTTACGAATTCAGTTAAGAAGTGCATTTGATTAAATTACTTTCAAATTTAAATTTAAATATGTGCAGAGATATAAAAATTCATCATTAACTATTATTTTGAATATTTTGGTTTTTTAATTTATTATTGATAAATTTCTTAGATTGATCAAATAAAATTCTAAAGTATAACAGGATTACTTCAAATTTTATTTTAATATGTCTATCTTATTATTATTTTTATTTAAAACTATATTACATTTAATATCTAAATGACAAGGTATTTATAAAATTTTAAGCACAATGGATTCTTATTTTTATTATTATTCTTAATTTTTCAATTTTTTTAATCTAATCAATCAGAATAATAAAAAATCCTATTTTATTTTGTAATGTATTTTTAATTCTTAATATCCTCCAATTAAAATTATTTCTTTCAAAGCTTTATAAAAACTATTTAACTTATCTATTTGCTTTGTTTTACCTTAATTAGAATCTATTAGAATTTTAAATCTATTAAAAATTGCTTCAATTTCTGTTGTATTTATATATCAAGTAACAAAAATCAAGTAACTAATTATACAAACTACTTGAAGAATGAATTTATAAACCAAAATTACTAAAATTTATTACATTAGTTTCTTTTTTAAAATACTTATTTTTACAATGTATTGTTCAAACACATAAATAAAATAAAAGTAAAAGTAAATGCAATTAGAATATTTCAAAAGCTTAGAAGAAAACTCAAAATATTATGGATTATTTTGCTATTTCAAATTTTAAAAGAGCGATTAAATATGGAATATATTGAAATGTACACAAAAAAAATCATGTAGTTTGCAAAGTCTGCAAATTCAAACACCGAGTAATTCAAAAACCAACACAAAACTTCTCCTCCGCATGAGGCAAGGTTCGAGTTTTATGTGGGCGGCAAAACAACCATCCAATGAATCTATGTAGCAATCTGAAGTGCATGACCAACCATGCAGTTTATATCATAAACAAAGTCTAACTGAACTAGTAAACATTTGGAATATGAGCGAGAAAAGCAAGCTGCTCCCCTGAAGCGGCATTTCAAAGTCGGTTATAATGGACTTCGACACAGCAAAGGCGTTATTCCAGAAATCAGACAGTGTATTCTCTTTGCCAGAAAATTCGGTTTGGCTCTGACAGAGACTGGCCTTAAGAAGCTCACAAGATGGTAGCAATGATTTGTAATCTTTTCAGCACCATCTCCCAAGACAATTGACTGCAGATGTGAATGTTGAAGGTGAGGGTAACATCGTAAACAGATTGTGTCTATTCTTTCATAAAACTGAAACTGTTCTTATGAATAGACCTGAAGTTGGGTAATTCCAGACACCGAATGTGTGGTATTCTAGTCTGTTCACGATTCCAGACTGCCTGGTTTCCAGCTTCCACTATTGGATAGTTCAGGAAATGGGTCTTGTTGCCGAAACCTGAAAGGCACTGCTGCGGCCAACCGTCGTTCACGGTGGATAATCCGGTTCGGCACTCGCTCTTTGTGACGAACATCGTTGGGAATCACTGTGATAAGGCTCACTCAGATCACGTCCGGATGATAACTCGACACTGTGAATCCCCGGAACCAGTGCGCACTGCGAGCAGTCGATGTCAGGAATGAATCCAACAGTTGCGATTGAGATGCTGATAGTCTACTGAGAGACAGTGTTCTCTGTCACACGCTGGTATATGCCGACTAAATCCTCGATTTTGACTTTTTCTATTTTTTTGCTGTTTGGTGATATTTTGAATTCGTTTATCAGTATTTTATTAGTATTTTTTGTGCCTGTGCAGGCAGGAATCATAACAGTGACCTAGTGGTGTTGCCGTACTGAGATTTACCTCTTTGTGATGATGAGATTCTTGAGCGCCAAAATCGGTATGAATTTTCAACAACCAGTGGCGGATGTCCAGGGAATCAGCGGGTGCAGTTTTCCTACATTCATGGCCCCCATATTCGACATTCTCAAGCTGATTTAATCTTTCAGTGATCACCAGAGGTTAGAGAATCTCAATTTTTGATGTTTTGACGGTATAATGCAACCAACCTGCTTGTTTAGCCCTCCACTTTACGTGTTCCGAGGAGAATCGAATGAAATAACATGCCATTGAATCGCAGACAATCTTCGTGACGGCGAAAATGGAACCAGGTGATCCAATTGGATCATATTGCTGGCATCCACTGTTGGCAAGGATAATTGAGGGGGGGGGGGGGAGTTCCTTGCGATTCAAGGAGTCTTTCGGTAATTGTACAGACAAATTGTCTTGACTAAATCAATAAACTAAAGCATGCCACTCAGCAGTGTAATCTGCTTTAAGTTCCGCCAACAAAAACTTCAGATCTTAACACTTTCCAGCATCCTAATGGATATTTCCATGGAAACATACTTGTGTTGGAGTTTTGTTTTTCTGTAATATAAGTCTGTAGTCCGCTAGTTATTTCAGCGTGTTTTGCAATTTCTGGACCACATCTGCACCACCTTCTTCCGGCAAAGTTACTTGAGTTTTGAGGGTAGATGTGCGTTGCAACCTTCCCCCTAGTTTCTGACACAGTTCAGAATCAATCGATGTAACTTATCTAGTGATCTAGCTCGTCGTTCCTTATAAATCAATCGTTTCTTGCAAGTATGGCATGTTTAGTGGATTATACGCCTCTCAAGTATCAGTTGATGCTCACAAATCTTGTAGAAGAAAATGATAAAGTACCCCGTTACCATATGAAACGCATTAGCATCCACGTATTAAAATTTGAAGGGGTGGGTAGTACCGTCGGAGGACTAGCCGATCGCTTCCGACAGTTGAGCGAGAAGGACATGAAGTTGCTGAATTGGCAGGATAATCTAGAGAACTTGCAGAATGATAGTTCTGTGTACTTCAGTCTCGTTAAAATGGCTGAAAAGATATGTCCCCTCAAGAGTGGCAAGTTAGCAGTTTATCACTGCGTCACTGACAAGGACACTCAACAGAATACAGAAGATCTCTCATTATCTTCCCACCAACACTCAAGTTTCCGAAGTCTCCTGGTAACAAGACATATCAATGGACAAGTCGAGTTACTCTCCTCGCATGACTCAGACGGAGGTGCTAGTAGTCACCTTCGATGGCGCTCAAACGACTTAATGAAGATCGAGATTTCTGACTCGAAGGCATACGAGTTGTTATGGCTGGTTCAATGGGACATCGTGGACAGGTTGAATCAAGTAAGCTGGAGCGATCCCCATGCATGGTCCTGTGGGGAGAGTCGGAGATCAGCTTGGAATTTTCCTTTGGAATATTTCAAAGACCCTCCCCCTCAAATATGCATTAAACATGTGCGCTATCGTCATTCTCGAAGGTCACCTTATGTTGTTGACATGAGACTGGAAAAGTGTAGGAGAAAAAAATGGTTTGGCTCGTTTAAAACCCGCGTTGCAGCTGCCCGTGCCGTGGACGCTGTCCTCCATTACTATTCTCCTTCTAACAATGTTGGTGGCTTGAATTTTGAGGATTCCCCCCTGTTTCTGGAACCAATACCTCCAGATCTTACTGGAGACGAGAAGCTTGATTTTGTGAAAGCACAAGCTCGGCAGATCGGAAATTTATTTGACGGGTCTACGCTTGAGTTTACACGCTCAACAACTACGCTGTGTGGTGTTGCTGGTCCAAGTTCGGTGGGCGACACTGTTGGACTTCAAGGTTCATTGCGATCCCAGTCATCAGACATGATACGGAGTGAAAGCGTTCAAACTTTTGGTGCACAATCAACGGGGAATTCTGTCCCCATAAATCGATCGAGGTTGTGTAGGTCGAATTTTGTCACACCAGAGATTTGGATAAATTCAGGAACTGTCCTGGATGAACACTGTGCGGCAGTGCAAGCCACGTCTTGTGCAAGTAATTCCTTTCAAGAGACTGACGGTTCGATGTTCAGTTCTCAGCTAGAAAATCAGTGGCTGTCTGGTCCGAGAAGCTTCTCCACAGATCATCAGGTGTACGAGAGAGAGTTGCCTCAACTTCGATCTGAAACTTATGAACCCAGTTCCTCTTCCATGGTCGCAGAATCAACCACAGCATCCTTGGACGAGGAACTCGTGGGATACATGATGGCTGACCTTCTGGGGGATGTTGAAACAGCTGTTCCAGCTTCCCAATTGTCCACACTCTATAAAAATGTGGGTGACCGTCAATTTGCGCCGGACACGCGATTCTGGCAACCTTCACAGGATTATTCTATCGATTCTTTGGTTGAGAATATTGATCTGGTAATGCTCCTTAGTCTCCTAACATGTTCGCCTTCAAGTATTTTCGCCTTCATTTTTTCGATTCAATTTAGAACAATCGCCTCTCTGAAAGTCATTCCCTTCCTGATGTTGCATCAATTAATTCCAAATTTTTTTGCCTCGTTTACAGGGGAATCGTTTTTTAAATGAAAACAAGTATGTTTGATGGTAATCTGGGGGAGAAATTGTCCAGCGATGTTCCTTGGGTACCGGTTCTTACGTCAGCCCTTCAGCATCAAGAAGCGTTGTGTATCAAAGTCAAACAATTTATTGTATAGACATAGGAGAAATCTCTTGTACATCACTGGCTTAGCGAGGATTCATAATTCCTTACTTAAATATGAGGATGATGATGAGGAACCTTGTTCACATAAATTCATTGTAAAAGTAAAATTTGTAAAGTTTTCTAGAGAACTTCCAGGAACCACAGAAGCAAGACCAGGAAAATACTGAACAACCACGTTAACATTATAATCCTAGTTGAGATACTATGAGTTTAAATTATGGTTATTAAGTAGTTAAAAAATAGCTCTTAGACTGCCAATACTGATACTTCTGTGAGCAAAAGTTTCGCTATAGGTATTCTAAGTATATGCCAGATGGACATACTTTGTACAGAGCTAAATTGGATGTTAACATCACTCTCAGCACTGAGTACAGTGGTGAGTCCACGTATATTGTCTGTAAATGCTTCTCTATGTGTGTGTGTGTGTGTGTGTGTGTGTGTGTGCAGATTCGTTCTCTCCTCGTCGTTACGATGTTTTCAGTTATCTTCTCTTGCACTCAATGCAGGCTGAAAAGGCTGATTCCAGGTCGTTTCAGTGTTTTAAATCCATGACAGGAAGTTCCCGAGCCCCACGTCGGGTACCCATTGCAGTCACAGTTCGACCACCCAATATCCGATAGACCATCTCTAATTCGAGGAATTTGATTGCGTGTTCGCCGATGACAAAGACCTCACTACGCAGCAATTCCTCTTGACATCCACTGAGAATAGACGTACTCACTGTCCAAATGCAACTATCTCGAAGCACGACCACGCAAGTCTACAACCACTCAAACTTGCACGAGCTACTCGTATCTCCTCCTCCTCACAAATCTAACAGCGTTGATAAGATTCATACCACGTGCTTCTGTTGACAAGGATCTCCCCCACAGTCAGCATAATTCTCCCCGGAGTCCAGTGGGGGGCGGAGCCAGGTGCGATGCATCGCAGTCAATGAAACTTCTGAACCTCAAGTCAGCAGCATCACCGAAGGCAACGTAGCCTCATGAAGAAGAAAAATCAGTTTCTGACGTTGATGTCTGTGAGCATGACCGACAATGCTTCGAGACAGACGATGGCATTCTTTTACTAACACTGTGTAGAGCCCTTCCTCACTTAAACTCTGATCCAGATCGCAGGATCATCAACCAACAGCTCTCAGTAACTTTCCCTGTCGCGGGATCGGATTTATTCGTTAACCTAGAAAATCGATAAACTAGCCAACAGCTTCAAGGCACTGTCATGGAATGGGAGGTACCCAATTCGAAAAATCCCAGTTTTAATACTCCGTTCAACGCAAGCTCAGACTCCTACAGGCTGATAAGCATATCGTTACCGACAGAAACGGTCATATACATTCATTCATTTAATCATTCGTATATAATTTCATTCATCCGTTTCGTGGGAACTGTTCACCTGTCCACGCTCCCAGATGGGAGCGTTCGGCGGGCATGGGAACGCTGCGGTTCCTCCAAGTCAACAGTAGCCAGCGCACGTGTGGCTTTTCGAGAGGTTCTCTCATCCATTCATATCATCATTCATCCATAAAATTGGATGTAATCATCTATCCATCCCATTCTCTGTTGAGCTGAATCTCGTGAATTAGCCTACTTTTCCAGCGTCCTCGAAATCCCTCTCAAATTTCTCGATCATGACTGGTGATTTTGTTTTAATGATTTTGTCAGTATTATTTGCCATGAAAATTTTAGAAAAATATATAAAAAAATGAATAAAATATAATCATTTCACATTTTCTAAAAGCCATTTTTTTTTATGTTTATATATATCTATATAGATATGAAGACTGAAAGCCTTCAATCACATTGGTACACCTAAATGTACCACTAGGATATTCAAATCCTGGCATTAATAATACAAACCTAGCTTGAAACCATTCAGACAATATAATGTGGAGATTGTTCTACAATCAGATATAAGTTAAATCCAGTTTTTCTGAAAATTATTAACAGTTTTGTCAAAATATTTGATGTCATGACATTTGAAATATTAAATTCCACTGACTGTAATTTCAAAATAAATATATTACTTTTATTATTAATGTTATTATTATTATCTAATTTACACATTTTTCAATGCAATTGTGATTCTGTATGATATAGTTTCACCATTAATAATATTTTGCAATTTGTCAATTTAATGTTGCCTACACACTTAATTTGTACCTAAGACTTAAATGTTTTGTTTTATGTCAAAATAAAAAAAAAATGAAATTTATACTTGTTATTCAATTACTCATTTTAAATTTAATTTTTTTAGTTTATTTTATTTAATTAACTTTAAAATTTTAACACAATTAATATAAAAAAAATTGATAGACATTGAAACATATTGAATAAGATGTAGTTTGATACAAGTAAAAATCAGAAAATTGATTGTTGCATCACATTATCTTGAAATCTTGCCACAATTAATAATCAAAAGAGCTCTTTTTAAGATATGAAGATAAAATCAAAAAAAAAAAAAAAACAACAACAACAACAACAACAACAACAAGAACAAGAAGTAAGAAGGGAGGGAAGTAATGACATTTTGTTGTAAGGCTAATACTACAAACAATCATGTGCATCCACTTTTTGTATTTAAACAACTATAGCTGGTATCTCAAATATATTAATGGAACATGATTCAAAATTATAAGGTTTATCAATCAAGTAATTCCTTTTGTTCCTTCACCATTACTTCAAACATTGATTCAGAAATTGAATTTGGATCTTTTTTTGCTTTTATTTTGATATTGTCTAATAAGTCAAACCAAATACCATCATGTTGATTGTTGTCGTGTTGTAATACAATTATATGGTAAAAATATAATCAAAAATAAAATTTTAATTAATATTTAATCATCTATATTAATTCAATTATTAATTCAAGACATTTAAACATGGTTTTTATAAAATCCTCTTAGTTTAATTTCCTATCTTAATAACTAATAAATTAAAGGTTGGTTAGTAATTTTACCTTTTAAACTATAGAATTTCTTTTATTACCTTAAAAAGACCTTCAAATAGTAAAAATAGAATAAAAGAGGTAAATAATAGTATAGTTGATACTAAGATTAAGTTGAAGGTAGGATTGGGCTAAAAAATCCTTGAAATAGGTTGGATTGATACCGAGGGATTGATCATTTGTAGAACAGGGTCAAAATCATACCTCTAACTACTAAAATGGTTGCATAGGGAAAAATGAGGAGGCATTCAAAGATCAAAAATTGGGATTTGTGAGTTAGCTTTAAGTTTATTGTAAAGGTATGAGATTTATTTTCATAAGATTTGGAAAGAGATTGCAATTGTTGTTCAAAGCTAGGGTTTATATTGGTAACTTGGGATCTATGCGATACAATTAGGGCTAGAACTCTTAACTAATTTGAGCAATTGATGTCACATCTATAATTCAAAATTTGATAGTACTTCGTTGATTGGATGTGCTAAGTGTGTATAAACTTTTATGTTAATCTAACCATGAAATTGAGAGATATGTAAGTTTTGATACAATATGCTATTAGAAGTTGGTAATTTGAGGTTGGTTAGGATTTCTATAATATCTAAAGATCTACTAATTAGATCAAATTCCATCAAACATATATTATTACATAAGTACTAAATCTAATGTAAAATTTTGGAGTAGAAGGTATTGGATTGTATTTGTGGTTATTTGAAATTGATAGCGCAAGAAGGCAAGAAAGTTGAATTTAAAATTTTTGATGGAATTTTTGATGGAGCTCCAAATGGATCTTTAAATAGAGCTTCAAATTGAGCTTTAAGTGGATTTTCTACTAGTGGACAAGATATGTACTTTGATCTAAAAATTATAAATATATTTTATGTAATTATATTATTTATGCAACAACAATGGGCAATGATCGCAAAGAGGCTTTGGCAACCAAAGCATTGCAAGCAATGATTAAAAAAATTGGCCAATTTGATAGAAGAAATATTTCAAAGTATTTGAGATATTATGTATGAGGAATGGAATTGAATTGAGTTTCTATAAAGAAGATGATTGAGCTATTTAGAATTATTATAATACGAGAAATAAGAAAATATGTTAAATCAAATATGGAACATTTTGGAGATTCATAGAAGATATTTTTATATGCATTAAAAGAAAAATATTTTTTAAAAAATAATGATTGAGTTACCAAGAAATCATTTTTGGAATGGATTGAGTAGCCTAACAAGAATTTATAAACTACGAAGTTTTTGAAGGAATTTTAGAAGCAATATTTTTTATCAAAAATAAAAAAAAATTAAATATAGAATCAAACAAGGTTGAATTGTTCCTTTAAGCAACTGATAAAGATTTGCAAGAGAAGTTGAAACTTCTTCTTGAAGATAAAGAAAAAAATGAAGGATTGACAAAAAAATAGAAAGAAGTTGAAGATGTTGTGGCATTACTTATAAAGAGAGAAAGAAGAAAGAATGGGGTTGAAATTCAAGGAGTTGGATAAGTATCTAAAACTCAAGAAATTACTTCATGATCAACAATATCTATTGCCCAACCTCTAACGACTACATCAAAGAAAAAAGATATAGAACTTGAGGAGAAAATGCATGGAATGCAAGATCTTCAAATCAAATTTGCAAGGCTTGAAAAGAAGACTTCTACAATAAGTTCAAAGGTTATTTCTAAGTAAGGATATATGCAAAGATGTATTTGATATAGTGATGTTTTTTATTCTCAAAAAGATTGTGGTGAATTCAATGAAATGATACAACAAAGTATGATTTTTTAGTAAGATGGAAAAGTGGCGATGTCAAGAACATGAACAGAAAGCTGATGCATAAACCAATGAAATCCATGTCAAAAAAAAATAAAAAAATAGAAATAAAAGAGTACATATATTAAAAGAAACTAAGATAGCTTATTGCCAAAAGATAATAAAACTTGAGACTCTTGAAACTAGACTAGAAGCAAAAAAAGAGTTGACAAATGTGAAGAGACCTTCACTTTTGCTTCTATATATACTATCTAACTAAGAGCTAAGTGGTAATGTTCTATAGGACCTCTTATATATGTTGACTTAGCAGGATACATACCTTAACTTAGAAGGCAAGTTTTCTATGTGTAGACCACATAATTAGCTTGCTCTTCAAGCTATTAATAAGTGTGGCATATGGTCAACTTGTTGATCACGTTTTTAACCTAAAAAGTCAATTAAAGACACCTATAAAGTCAAAGCAGCATCTATGAAGCTTCTAAAAAGCTTATATAGAAGATATTATGGAATTGACCTACTTTTACCTATTAATAATTAAATCATATAATTAATTATTGATTTACATGTATATGTCCATAACATTACTCCTCCTTCAAGGGATAAGTTCTACAAAGAGCGGTCTTCATATATTGAAGAAATCCAAGATGTGACAAATTATATTTGCCGCATACTCTGATCTTTATTT